TACTATCGTTGTAATTGCGTATAAAACACTGTTTCAAATCCTAATAAAAGCTTTCAGGCCAAAGAGGTCTCCTTAACCAAAAAAAAAAAAAAAATTTTCTAAATATACTATATTATACAGTATAAAATACAGTAATACAGTACACCTTTCCAAACCCAATCCTGTCAAACCCAATAACCTGCTATAATCGATAAAAAATTGATCCACCATGTCTATTTTATAATTAAAACCTGATAGCTTGCTATTTCTAATAACTGATACCAACAAGATTAGATATCTATAAGATATTAGTTTTAACAAGTAATATAAATCGATTTGATTCACTTAGATTGAGTTTTGTATAACAAATTATATATATAAAAATATAATCTAGCCAATTATATTTAGTTATGATTATATAATAACAGACTATTAGTATTTCAAATCTGATAACTCTCAAAACTGATACAAAAGCTGTCCACCATGTGTATCAGATTTGAGAAAATATACTATATATATATATATATTTTTTTTTAACAGAATCGCTTTATTATATCTGAATAGTTAAGTTATTACAAAGTAGTACAATAAACTAGTATATATATTTCTATATATTCTGGGTCCCTTTCTCTGCAGTATTATAGTTCCTAGACTACTGCATCTCTACTTGTGTATAAAGCTTCACTTGGCTGCTCTATGTAGAAATGTACTAGTTCTGAAAAAGACCGATTCAGAGCCAGTCTTTTCAATAGTCCCACAGTCTTATCGGTTCCAGTCTGAACTGGTCTCGAATTGGTTTTTGTAAACAAACTGTAATATTTATATCACTCAATCAAATTGCTTGATCAGGTATAACACAGATTATATGATGTTTGTTTACATCTGACAGTAAGTAATTACATCATTTATGATCAATAAGATTTAGTTATTAAGGACCATTTTGGGATCGCAGACAAACCAGAACCAAAAATACTATGATAACGGTCTCACTAGAACCAGGATGCACCGAACCGGACTGGTGCATTCCTAACTCTATAATGCCCAAGTATAACTATTTAGCTACAAATTTTCCTCCTTTTGGCTTCTAACTTACTACAGTCTTCTCTTTTTATAATCATCTCTCTTATAATTACAACCTCTATAAAATCACACTAATTTATGCCTCTGACTTTTCAAATAATAAAATTTCTCTTTATAATATCAAAATACATATAATCGCTATCACATATTTTTTATAATCCCAATATTAGATAAGTATAGCAATTAGTGATTCTAGTCAATAGTTAAAAAATCGACTTATGTTGGTTAGTCGACTTAGTCAAGTCAATTTTTATAAAGCTGACTTAGTCGATTATTAAGGTTTCACAAATCTAATTGGCTATTATATTAGTTATTTGTTCTAAATTTTATCTAATGACAACATAAGCATCCCGAAAAATACCAATATATCGGATTGGTTTTAAATCGATCGTTTTCTTTTTTTATACAAATATACATTCCACAAATCATATGAAACTATAGCTTTTTCAATCAAACTAATCAAATATTTATTTTGTACAAAATACAGATTGCTCTCAAGCATTAATCTCAATGTGATTAGCAAGTGATCGTAATATTGCTTAAGCATAATTATATTTACAAAAAATTTTAGCCGAAAATTTGAATATACAATTTATGACATAATTGTAATCTTCTCAAGCATCAATTTCAATATGATTAGTGAGTGATTGTATTAGTGCTCATTTATTATGATCAATCAAAATAACCATTGAAGCCAATATTTGAGCAATTCCCTATTGATTTCAAATATTATCGTCAAAAATTAAATAAAAAATAAAAAATAAAAACAAAAAAATTAAAAAAAATAAAATAAAAATAAAAAAAAGCATCTATCCAAGTAACAGATATTACTAATTATCGAAATTCTAATAAAGTATTAACTTTGGTAGTTTCTAGTACTCTATTCACTGATTTTACTAACTATACTAACGGAATAGTTGAATTTGTTGTCATTTGAGCGAAAGCCAAAAGATGGTAAATAAGTGGCATAGAATAATTTGTTAAATGTTATCAGGAGAATGTAAATATCTGAAGATTAAATTTCAGAAATATTTTCATGAAATTTCCTGGGTCCCACTGATCAGATTCACAAACACAAAATTTAATTTGTATAAAATAGGAATATGTTAAAGCTTTGTAGTCTTACTGATTATTAATTAATCAATAAGGAATCAGCGACCAATAAATTATCATGTATATGTTTAGTGCATCTCTTAAATCAGTGTATAATAATAAAAGAATTTTTTTCTTACAAAAAAAACAATTAAAATAATAATAAATTGATATTTAAAAGTTATAGCTCATATATCCCGTACCTTTCTGGTTCAGATGTTAATCTAAATAAAGTATATAATTAATATCATAGTCATGATTAAAATAAAAAAAAGAGAGGAATTAATAAAGCTAAATAGGAATATCTTAAAGGAGCTATGTAAATGTGTGTTGAAATTCATGAGAAAGAGAATAAAAAATTAAATACTTTAAAAAAAATAAAAGAAAAAGCCTCAAATATAATTATTAGCTATTAATAGAAAATTATTTTAATGAAATAGAACGTACAGATTTTTTTTTTGAAAAAACGTATATAAAAGAGTAAAATTAACTAAGCAAGTTAGTAATAGCTCGATTAAAATGGATTAAGAAAATCCTCCTACATTTCAATATGAGTCAGAAGAAGATATTTTTGACAATTTTCTAGAAAATAATTATACTCCAATTGTACCTTATGAATTTTCTTCATCACTATGTTCTCTTGAATATTTTACTTCTCCTAATCTTGAATATTCTATTTCGCCATCACATGCATTTAATTTGATTTCTGCTATACCCTTAGAATCTTCATCATCGCATAATCTTGAATGTATTGCTTCATTTCCTAATCTTGAATATTCTACCTTTCTGATATATGCTTCTAAATATTCAATTTCATCATATAACTCTGAACAATCTACTTTGTTATTAAATAATTCTGAAGCAATACATGATACTTCCGATTATTCTAATTCTTCAAATATTCAAACTCTACAAACTGCTAAAAAACATAAGTTAGTTTTTGTAAGTTCTTCAGACAAAAAACCAACCTGGAAAAAGCTGGGTGTGGCTTTATATAAAAAAAATAAGTATGTAAAAAAAAAAACAATATGTATAGTTTCAGCCAAACAAGATGGAAAAATAGTCAAATATAGTGAAACTTTTGCACACTTAACAGCACAATTATGCTTGGTTCTCATTTATATATAATACATCGTATATTAGACAAAGGTTTATTATTACCATTATTAGGAGTATTCGAACAACCAGTCTCCAAAAAATCTATTAATATAGCTCAAAAAGACCCTACACAACCTACATTAATAGATACATTAAAAAATAAGCCATTGTTATCTTCTAAAAAAAAGACAAACTAACCTCTAAACTTTTAGTATAGATTGTTGATAATATGCAAGCGTTTAATGTTTAGAAAATAAAAAATTTCGTAACTTCATATATGAAGCTGAATTATATTATCAAATTTCATGTCAAGACATTTTTTTAAAAAAAATATATGAAGCAGTTAGCTTTGGAGAAAATAAAACACTTAACCTTTTTCAAACAACAATGGACACCTTTTCATTTACAACTAACCTCTGGACAAGCACGCATAAACCATATATTGGAATTACTGCTTATTGGCTTAACTCCAATTTTTAATTAAATAAAGTGCTTATGACCATTGAAGAATTTCCTTACCCTCATACCAGAGAACATATTGAAGACTGTTTAAGACGTAAGTTTTCCAAGTGGTGTATTTCAGAAAAATGTATCTCTGGAATGACTGACAATACAGTATCAATAGTCAAAGCAATAAGTAATCTTGAAGTAATTCATATTCGCTGCGTCGTGCATACTCTTCAACTTTCTATTACAGATTCTTTAAAATTTGATGAAGTAACAGAATTGATTAATAAAGCCAAAAACTTAAATAGTTTTTTGGTTCATAAAGATAAATATAGAGAAATATTAAGAAATGCACAAGATGAAATCAATAAAAAAAACAACTTCTGTACTACAAGCTAAATACAATTCTTAGAGCCAATAGCCACAGCATCGGCTACACATTGGAATTCTATATTTGTACTTTTAGAGCATCTATTGTTGCTATATAAGCCTACACTATTGCTTACAAAAAGGATAATTCAAAATGTCGATTGTGAAATTTGTAAAGACAGAAAAAGTTAGAAAGCTTATTATTAAAAGAACATAAATTGTTAGGCTTTAAAGAACTTGTTTTTTTATTAGAGCCTTTTGTAAAAGCAACATCTCTTATAGGTAGAGATACATATTCCACACTTTCTCTTATACTTTTGACAATTACAACCCTTCAAGAACATCTATTAAAAGTAGAATCGGTACTTACTCATTCAGTTGTTCATAATGTTAGAAATGAAATCGAATTTAATATAGCTGGTCAATGGGAAGATCTAGTTATAGAAGGATATTTGGCATCAATTTTAGATTCTAGGTTTAAAAATTTAGAATTTGCTTCTGAAAAATTCGAAGAAACAAAAACATCTCTAAGGCAACAAATGAGAATGTTAAATAAAAATGAATGTTCAAATGACCAACCAACAGCAAAACCATCTTCAAACCTGGCATCTTTTTTTACATCAGCAAAAATAAATAGGCGTAAACCTTCGCAAGTTTTTACGCGAGCGTAAACTTACGAAAATTTACGATTAGTTCGGAGTATTACGTAGGTGTAATAATTACGA